ATGGTTAAAAACTACCATGCTTAACATATGGAGGGTAAGAAGGAAAAGCTGGATGGAGTGTAATGATTTCTGTTTATATATATATATATATATATATATATATATATAGCACAAGAATGTTGCTATCCTCAGTATTGCCCTATGACATTTCTTATATCAATGAAATATGACTTGCTCAGAAAGTGAGAAATACTAAACATAACAAATACTTGAATGACTTTCATTAAAAATTTCAGCAGCCTTTCCCTTAGACATGTGTGAAGAGCAGCGACAGAGAACAAATAACTCTTTTCTCAGCATGTTCTAGATGAGAGGAAATTGAATTGTAATGAATCTACACAGGCTGCCTCAGCAAACAGCATAGTGAAAACACTCCCCTCCCTGTTCTAATCACCTGGGGCTGAGATGGCTAATTAGAAAATCCCAAATCAAAACATAAACCCTTTGGAGAAAGCATGCTGCCAGTTCATTTTCAGACTTGCATCCTAGTGCCCAGCTGCTACAAATGGACAAAATGTACAACATGAAAATGGTTTGTTCCTTCTAACACAGCCAAGCAGATGCAAAGTATATAGTTTTTACCTGCCATCCTGGCTTCTGAGTTACCACTTTCATTATTTTTTCTAGTAGAACAGAATTAATGGTTCTATTCTCTCTAGAATGCGCTGCCCGCTCTGCCTCTACTGTACTCTCCCAAGAACGTCAGGCATTCACATACTTTACAGTTGCCTCCTGTACAATTTATTTTTTTTCCTATTCTGCTGAAATCTAAGTAGGTTCTATTTCTAAGGTTATTCTTATCCTAGGCACAAGGAGCTAGGCAAGCACACATATGAACTGAAGTCACAATGGAAAAAAACAATTTATAAAACATCCAACAAAGATTTGTATAAAGAATATATGTAGAAAGCTTACAACTCAATAACAAGAAGGAACAGTTCAATTTATAAAAGGGCCAAAGATTTAAAAAGACACACGATTAAGGGCAATTCATCAATGTTGAAGAAACACAAGAAAATCAATTCAACATTATTAGGCACCACAAAAATGCAAATTAAAGTCACAATAACATAGCAATACACACTCAAACTGTATAGATTAATAAAGTTAGTGAAGATCTAGAATAACCTTGAAAGTCTCATATCATGTTGATAGGAATTTAAAATGGTATAACTGACATTTGAGAAATAAACCTTGGCATTTTCTTAAAGTTTGAGACATTCAAAAGCATCTAATAAGTAAGTCTACATCTATACATTAGACTGAGAAACAGATACAAGATTTAAAAAAGGCAAATACAAAGTCATCAGATGACCCAGCAGTTACACTTCTAGTGATTAGAGAAAAATGAAAAACTATGCCTCCAAGAAGACTTAGACACGAGTGTCAGGGGCTGGGACAGCAGTCTTTGCTCTGAGGGCGCCCCTTTCGAAGAGTTGAGAGCTTGGCAAGGGAGGAGGACGGCAACTTCATTTCTGCTCGGCTGCTTCACTACCAGAGCCCTGAGCTTCCAGTGCTGGACCAAGGTGGAGCCTCTATTTCCTGAGGGGGAACCTGGCAAAGCAGGGCCTTTAGCCAGAAAGTAAACACATTTTTGCATAGCCAATCACTCTGTCATCTGTCCTGAGGTCTGCTAACTGGCAACCCTGGGTGAAGAAAAGTAACAGTAAAACCAAAGTAGAAAGCTACAAAGAGTCTGCGACTGGTTGGTTTTTTCCCTTTTTAATCTAATCTATTAACCACAATATTGAGACCAAACTGTCTGGTTCACCAGCCAAAGTTGATGAAAGCAGGGAAAGAGGTGTCTGTAGCTAGAAAGCAGTAGCCCCAAGCTAGTTCAGCTATTTCTGTGGCAGAAAAGGGAAACCATAGTGGAAGTGATACAGGCAGCAAGGGGCACTAACGCTGGTCAAGATCACTGCCCAAACAGTTTACCAGGCACTGTTTGAGTTCTTCACCCACACACACAATTGCAAAAGTACTCAGGTTCAGAGAACAACAATTAAGGGGTTGATTTAACAAAACAGGAAAAAAAACAATAGTTACTAAGGCCAAAAGTGCCCTTACCTCCTCAGAGCTGTTCCAGTCCTAAACAAAAGCAGCTATGATGGTGTCTTCCACCACCAAGGACCCGGAGCTCTTCTCTACACAATAGGCCACATGTACAAAATGGTATCTTTCTGCCTCAGCCAACCTGGAGCACACATCAGCCAGATTCTCACCAGGTTCCAACTCACACAGACAATGGAAGATGGAACAGGAGATCTCCAGGGACTACCATGATTTCCCCAGCGCAGCACCAGACAAGCAACAGTCAGGTCAACAGCTGCAGTGATGAGTGACCCCACAAATGGCCACTCACACAGGTCATTGAGGTGACCCCCCACTCTGAGTCTCCGCCTTCCCTGTCAGGCTGTGACAGCAGCAAAAACCAGGAAGTTTCAGTTCTCAGCTAATTGTAAAGCCTCCGAACTTTTCCACTCCTAAGTTGGCTGCTGAAAGCTGTCACCTTCAAAGGCCCACAGAGCCTTCTAGAAGATGGGTGTGGTAGGGGCCCAAAAATCTACTGATTTCCCCTGCTGAATCCCAAAATGCTGAATCCAATCCGCCTTTTGTGGTCACTTGCCTATTTTTTTTTTTTTTATCAGTCTTTTCACTCCAGTTTTTAGCATTTCCCCTGGGGCTATCTGTCCTCACCAGCAACACCCTCCAGGAGGCATCATCTGTAACAGTCTTTTGGCTTTAGATAGAAGTAGTGTCTTCTGGAGTGAAAATTCCTCTCACCCCTCTCATACTCTGTGAAATTCACGTAAAACTTAAGAGCCCATAAGCGGGCTAACAAAACCTAATTATCTTACCTTGGATAAATCTCTTCTCTTCATAGAACAGAATAGGCAGAATATTCTCCCAAAGATTAGGCTGACACCCTAATGCCTGCCACCAGTGAACATGTTATATTAAGTGTCAAAGGGATCTTTGCAAGCTGTAAGGTTACTGACTATAAAATTAGGAGATTTTTTTCAGATTATGTGGATTGACACAATTTCATCATGTGAGCACTAAAATGGAGTGAGTTTCCTTCAGATGGGGCAAGAAAGCTGTAGCAGAAAGGCAATTCAGAAAGCATGAGGGGGTGGGCCCACCAGTGTAGGAGGGGCCACATCCACCCCATGAAGAGGAAGGTGGGCTGCCCATGCTACCCGCTGGCAGGAAAGTGGGAAATTCTGTCTTACACTTACAAGGTACAGTTCTGTCAACAACCTAGAAACACAATCTTCCCCCAGAATCTCTAGCTAAGAGCCCAGCCCACCTGACAGCCTCATTTCAGCCTTGCTAGGCCTTCAGCTGCTGGCTCAGTGGGCCCTGCTGTGCCCAGCTTTCTGAATTATGGAACTGTGAGATAATCCTGGGTGTTGTCTTGAGCCATTATGTTTGTGGCAACTTTTTTCTAGAAGCTACAGAAAAGTAATTCACAAACACCCTTTAAAAAAAAAGAAAAAAACAAAATTTTCAAGCAAAAATGACTGAGTATAACTCCCTTTCCTCATTGCAAAAATATGATGTACAAGTCTGATTTCTTTTCTCAAGAATGACAGAATCTATACTCCCATCGGTGCTCTATGTGGTACTGGTGTATTCTAGATAGAGCCTCAGCCCCCCATTGGGGTGGAAAGCAGATTTCGGTGAGCTCATTACTGCAACAGGAGTGTCAGCTGTCAGACTACTGCACTTATCCAGGGGAGGGTTGATAAGACAGTTTGCAAATGCAGAGCAGTTCAGGAGAAATGTTGCTATTTGATGATTCTGCAAGTGCTGGCTTGGTGGAAGTTAGTACTATGAATTAGAGCGTCAAAGGAGGAATAGGCTTGGGAGAAATGATCATGGCGAAAGCTTAACTTGGAACAATTTGAGTTTGAGGAGTTTGTGGGACATCCAGGAGTGCCCAGGAGGTAGCTGGATGCTGAAGCTCGGCTGATTTCCAATGAGGAACTCCAATTTGGAAACGGACATATAGGTTCAGAAATGTTTATGGGTTTTCTTTTGCTTTAGAAAACAGTAAGACGAAGAGATACACAGAGAGGATAACAGACATTCTGTTTGCTGAGGTAATTAGAAAAGGATTGCAGGAAAGAAAAAAGGATAGATGAGAAAGCTGTTGACTAAGGTGGAGTTGATTTATTACTAACAAACTAACAAAAAGGCAGGGCAGGGGGGAGCTGTGTCCTTTCTTAGAGGAGATAAAGGAGGTGGAAGGGTGACAGAAACTGGAGGATGATCTCATCAGTCACCAGGGAGCACAGTCAGCCCAGGACAGTAGACACCTGCCTGTGTCAACAGTGATGGTGAAAATGGCTGTGGAAGAGGAAGGCACAGGGAAGATGGCTGTCCAAGAAGACCGCTTCCACGGTGGAAAGGAGCTTCCTTAAGTGGAAAGAATCTCTGAAAACTGCTCATTCCCAAGGAACATGGAGGATTGGTCTCCCTCAATTTTTGTGAGAACATTGTTGCTATTCTCAATAAGAGTGAAAAATCCAAATGAGCATCCTATGCATTCAGTTCTGTTCCCTCTTGAGGAACTGACAATGACTTGATAGCTGCTACACAGGGAGAGGATAAGCTGCCTGCACACCAGCACACAGGGTGGCTCCCGAATGAACTGCCAACCTTGGGGAAAGTAGTCAGCAGGGGCAAGTACCATTTAGGACATAGTGTTCTTCATATTCCTTGCTGGCTAAGTGGGCTCAAAATAACATTTAATCCAGTCTAAAGCACCCAATAATAAATTTCAGGCCATTGGACTAGAGGCTTCATTTTCTTTCCTGAAGCCTCCAGTTTTGGCTCATAATCAAAACAGCTGACAATCTAGTTCTCTCCAACTCTAACACACCTAATCCAAAACTACACGTGTGTAACACCTCCACTATCTTTTGTGGCTTTTCAAATTTTCCCTTAGATTGATCCCAACATTGTGACATTCAAACTCATTACTACTACAAGGATTAAAAAGTCCTTAAGTATATTTTTATTGTATGTAACAATGCCATATACACACAAAAAATTGTTTCGATCACTTAATAAGTTACAACATTCCATATTTTAAAAGTAATAACAAGGACTAAATGATCACTTCCTGAGTTAACAGTGCAATGTAAAATTCTGTATTGCTAGTAAGACATTTTACAGCATAGAAACATGATCAAAATGATCATTTACTTTATCATGTCACAAAACACGAGAGCTTACAGTAGAACAGTGATAAAGTTTAAAGGGTAAGGAACTCTGTGACTCATAACAAAGAATCCTGTATGTATTTTGTTGCATGATTGACTTTCCAGGTTAAGTGTCAGTAGTAAAATAAGTTGTGGTACAAAATAAAGCTGACACAGTATCTGTAACAATGGACTATTTGATATAAGAAATTGAGACCTGAATTCTCGTTATTAACCTTTTTAGTATTTACAAAATGTTCTCTTAAAAAACCTTAAGCAGTCACAAGTTTGGACAAAACAGTTGAATGAAGGACAATGATAGATCTTTATTATCCTGTAAAACTATGTATTTCATCTTTGGAAAAGTTAAGATCATGCAGGAACCTGAAAAACAAACACAAAACATGTCTCTTAGGGACAATGTTGGAAAAGAAAAATCAGTTTACCATCATTAGCAAGATATGGTTTCATTTCCTCAATTACCATGTTCTCAAAAATCCCATAATTATAATTTCTAAGACAGTAACAACCCTTTAATATCATCAAATATGAAATATCTAATTTTTTAATGCTTTCCTAAATGCTGTATTTTTTTTTTTAAGATTTATTTATTTGTGCATAAAGAACTGGGGTACAGGCCAGAGATGCAAGGGCAGTGAGAAGATTCACCAGAGACACAGTGGGGAGCAGAACAGGAAGATCAACAAAGTACACTGCTGAGGGGAGCAGCGGGCGGGTCAGGAGAGGTCTGCCGCGCCATATGGTCACCTCCGGGGCAGGCGGGGATCGAACTCATGCGGAAGTGGCTTAAGCTTCTTAGTGCTGTGCTTTAACCCGCTGCACCACCAGGAAGGGCCAACGCCATAACTTTTACATTTATTTGAATCAAGACACGAAGTCTTCTCATCATAACTGGCTGTTAAGTCTTTTAGAATTTTGGGGGGTATAAGATCCCAAATCCCCCATGTTGTCCTGCAATTTATTTGCTGACAAAATCAGATTTTTATGTGCTGCATCTTCCAGAGACCTCAATTTGCAACACCCTGTGATATACTATAACATGTGTTTACAGCCTGTTATTCCCCATAATTTAGTAATGATCAAAAGGCTTTATTAAATTCTTTTCAGAAGACTACTTCTTGTATAGTCTTCCACCCAGAGGCATGCAATACTAGTTGCATCTTTTTTTTTTTAACTATACTAATAACTGTAGATCACATATAGATGCATTCATTCATAAGAAACTGAAATTGGTGATATTCTACCTCCATCATTCTTTCTGCATTTACCAGGTAAGAGCTCTATAAAGAAAAAATTCTGCTCATTTATTATGTGGTTATCTTATAATATAGTTCATATAAAAAAGGCAGATTAAATGCTTGATTTTCCCCCTTTAATCGCTGTTCTCAAATTACAGAGTTGAGCCTCTGGCATTGTTTATTGTTTTATTTTACCCACTAAAGAGGAAAAGTAGAAATATTAATGCTTTAAGGGTAATTCAACTTGGAGACTGCTATACACAGAGACTGAAATCTTAGAAGTGGCTCTGTTTAAAACCCTGCTGAAAATAACGAGCATTTAGTTAGTACTTACTGTATGGAGTCGCTGTGCTGAAGCACTTCCAGTGTGCTTCACTGCTGCCTCCCTTTCAAGGTGGACACACTATACTTAGCAAGGTGAATAACTAAGATAGCTTATTACCAAAGGTACTCAGCTCAATCATCTGCTTTTAACGGAAGCTCTTCATTTCACAGGCTTGCGTATCCTTTTACCTGTCCTGCTACTGCTCACCTTACTCCTTGCTCTGTAAATGGTGGTGGGCCACAGATGCAGATGAGGACTTTGGATTTGTCTAAACTTCGTTTCAAAAATTCAGAAAGAAGAGCTGGTGAGATGTGTCCCTGCTTGCCACTCCATTCTGGACTAGGAGCTGAGAGCACAAATTCAACGTCCAATCTAGAGAAATGAAAACATTTTAAAAAGTCTATTATTTTAGATACATTAACAAGTTTCAGGTTCACAAAAACATCTTATTTTTGCGGTTAGAGCATAATTTAATATAGAAAGAATGGAAACTGGTTAGAAAACACTGGCAGAGATTATAAAAAAATTACATAAAAACATACAAGTACATCCAATTTGTTCTAAAGACGCCTTTTGCTACTGGTAAGAATAATCTGATATTTCTTATTGAACTCATTACAAAGCAAGTTACAAAAGACTTCATTCAGAAAATCCTACAATTTCTATTAATAACCTGCTTATAGAGAATCACAGTGAGAAACAGTTATCAGTGACAAGTGATAATCACTGACTCACACCTCTTTAGTGAGTTCTAGATCCTTAAAACCAACAGCCTATCTGACTGCCTACTGCTGCTGTATCAATGGCCTCAAAATCAACTCCTCACATTATTTTTTCTTTAAGGCACTACAGTCCACTTGGTTACACAGACCAGCACTGAGGGACTTATCCTGGAGACCTCTCTTTTGCTTCACTCTCCATATCCAAATTCTCACCAAGTCCCAGCTACTATGTCTACTTTTCTCAGTCTTTGCTGGCACAATACCATCCATTCTTTTCTTTCTGTAATGCTTCCATCACACCTTGCCTTTCTGTTCTGGGTCAAGCTCATTCCCACAGGGAAGGACTGTGGCTCCACCACTCTGGGATTCTTCATTGTGTGTGTAGTAGAAATGTTATCCTTTTCTTTATAGCCCTTAGTCCAGGCTCTCAAGATGACTGATTTATCAATGTCTTCCTCATTAGACCTTTAACTCCAAGAGCATGAGAACCTGTTTGCCCTGTCATTGCAACCCTAGTGGCTGCTACTCAGGAGGCACCCATCACTATGGAATGAAACAGATGAAGGAAAAAGGTTCAGAATTAAAATGAGAAAGAATATCAACTGAGAGAGCAGAACTACAGATCATTTCTTCCTATAGCTTTGTTACTTGGTAAGTGAACTACTGGTAAAGGGCCACTGTAAATTCAATGTCCCACATTGTACCTGCTCTCTCTGCTCCATTTTAGCAAGCACAATTAATTCTTTTTTTTTAAAGATTTATTTATTTATGCATACAGAACTGGGGTACAGGCCAGAGGTGCAGGGGGGGATGGTGAGAGGATTCTCCAGAGACAGAATAGGGAGCAGAACAGGCAGACTGACGAAGTACACTGCTGGGGGTAGCAGCGGGTGGGTCAGGAGAGGTCTGCTGCACCCGGTGGATCACTTCCAGGGCAGGGATTGAACTCTTGCTGAAGCGGCTTTAGCTTCTTAGGGCTGTGCTTTAACCTGCTGCGCCACCAGGGAGAGCCCATAATTAATTCTTACGATTTTCAACAGCATCAGATTAAAGGCATTCCTACATTTCTTTAGTGAATAATTGAGTTTCTCAAAAGTAAAAAAATTTAATTGAACATTAATTTCAATCTTGAAAAAAGTTAGCAGAACAGATTCTCTGTGAGATGGCATACAGCGCCGAACACCAGAACAGAACAAAGATGTGGCTGGTGCAGCTGGGTTTATGCTCCCATGAGCTGGGCAGACTGGCACAAGGGTACAGACCAACTCAGGGGCTTGAGGCTTGGTTGCAGCCCTCACCAAGGGCTTAGCTGCTAGGTTTTTTTTTTTTTTTTTTGAGGAATAAGATAGGAAAATGACATAATCTCTTCCAATTCTAATGTGCTGATTGTGTATCTTAAGAAATTCTATAGAATTGTATTTTAAGTCTTACTTTCTAGGTTCCTGTTTAATTTCTGCAGTATCACCATTCCACTCTATACAGCATAGCCTCCCCAAATATTTTCTTTCACTAACTTCCTAGCACTTAAAATTAAGATCATTTAGGCAACTGCAGAAGTAACATTTGTTTATTGCTTCATGAGGGCAGAGTCATTGTATGTCAATACTGTATCCAGGTATAGCTCAAAGTAAATGTGCAAAAAGAAATGTTGAATAAAGGAGTTGATTTACAAAGAAGCCACAATGGTTAAAAATAGCATTTGTCGGGGCCCTGTGGTGCAGTGGGTCAAAGCACTACACTAAGAAGCTAAAGCCACTGCTGCATGAGTTTAATCCCCACCTGCCCAGGAGGTGATCCATATGGCGTGGCAGACCTCTCCTGACCCACCCACTGCTCTCTGCAGCAGTGTACTTCGATGATCTGCCTGTTCTGCTCCCCTCTTTCTCTGGTGAATCCTCTCACTGCCCTTGCATCTCTGGCCTGTACCCCAGTTCTATATGCACAAATAAATCTGTTAAAAAAAAAAAAAAAGCATTTGTCCATAGAAGAACAGAGCCACATGTAAGGATCTGGAAATAACATATAACACATATGTGAGTTCATAGTACAATTTTCTGTTGGGGAAAGATGATACATAAACTTCTACTAGATTACCAAAGGGGACCCACAAGCAACTGTCTATCAAATTAAAAATTAAATTTCCCCCACCTTAGTTTCAAGTAGTTCTACCACTAAAATAAAAGTGCTAAGCTGTATAAATCAATATTGATGTTCCTGTTATTTGCAAAAATTCAGTATTTTCCTTTATTGAAATGCTTTTTTAAAAAGCCTAATCAGTGGCATACTTCCTTCAGGCATCTATTAAAAGGTGAAAAATAGGGCCCTACCTGGTGGCATAGCGGGTTAAAGCACAGTACTAAAAAACTAAAGCCACTTCAGCATGAGTTTGATCCCCACTTGGGAGATGACCCACATGGCGCGGCAGACCTCTCCTGACCCACCTGCTGCTCCCCTCACCAGTGTACTCTGTCGATCTGCCTGTTCTGCTCCCCACTCTGTCTCTGGTGAATCCTCTCACCGTCCCTGCACCTCTGGCCTGTACCCCAGTTCTGTATGTATAAATAAAAATCTTTCCAAAAAAGGTGAAAATAATTGAGATCCTTATATAAATACAAAAATTTCTTATGCCTTTAAAATCTATCCACATAAACTATCCTTTGGGTATAAATTTTTGAATCAATGGAAAAAGTGAGCAAACTATAAGGATGCTATTTTTAAGGGTATTTAAAGAGGCTGCCATACTGCTTGCTTACTTCTTTACAGGACTAGAAAAGAGCTTAAACTGGAACAGGGACAATCCCAAATTAACAGTCAAAATACTTCAGTGAAGGATTTTTTTTTTAGAGAGAGATGTAAAGGGTTATTGTAGGATCTTCTCTTCTGAATTTTTCTGAATAGATTTGTTCAAACAATTATAGCCTTGAGGCATGAGGGTGCACTTTATAAAAGTACTGAAATTCCTTTCTGCCTTATAACTTCCAAAGTGTCAGAAAAGACCAAGACTCTTGTGAAAATAAATTTGGGTAATCCACAAAGGGGAGAAAGGGAGCAAGGGAGGGAGAGAAAGAGTGGGAGAATGAAAAGATAAGTACAGACCAGATGCTAATAACAGTTCTTTGGATAGTAGGATTATGGATGATTTTTTCTCTTTGCAATTCGTCTACATACATATGTATTGACTTTATAAGCAGAAGGGAAAAAATTCTAATATTTGCACAAAATAATAAGCCACTACTTATTATCCCTCAAAATATTCTTGGGGAGGAAAGGAAAATACTTTTTATTTTTATTTATTACAAAACGTGGTCTGGAAATAAACTTCATTCTTAAAACCAATTCTGCAACGGTAAAGAACTCACACGGTAGCTCTTTCTGCTGAGGGGATGGACAATGTAAAAGCAGACTCAGCATGGCCTCCGCATGCTCAGTAATTGAGAGCAATAAGTGAAATTTAATTTGGATACCAATTTACATGGTATGTAGCTACAACTGCTAATATACATATTTGTCTGTATTCTCTCACATTGAAGAAAAATATTATTTGTGAGAGTGTACTAGACTTTTTTTAAAACTAGATTTTACTAATCTTGTGAACTGAGTTTCAATTATTGCATTTAACAGTAAAGTGTAATAATGTATTTGGATAAAATTTAAGTAAGTTTACCTTTTCTTCAGTTTAAATTTTATATTTAATGACAGGAAAAAGTGAAACAGAACAGACAAAAGAATACTTATGTGTACCCATGTTTTGTAGTTCTAGTAAATTTAGCAATTTGGAAAAATGAAGAAATATGTCCCTAAAGTTCTCATGAGAAAATAAGCCAACGCAGTGTTTTGTTCACTGCTGTACTCCTATGTATGGGGACAGGTCTGATACTTTCAATATTTCATGAATGGAGGAATATTACAAATACGTTATCTTTGGGGCAGGCATCTTTGTAAGCATATGCTTACATATGCTCTTTTACCGACCCCAATTCTATGCCATAGGTAGGTGTCACCATGTCCTTGACCTACAGATGGGAAAGGTGGGCCTCAGTCAGACCTAGCAACTTGCTCAAGGTCACAAGGTTTGTAATTTCCTATTACACGTTGATTTTTCTAAAACTTTCATTTGCTAACGATATTATTCAGGTAAACTTGGAGGATAAGCATAGCATTCTGCTGAAAATTAAATTAAAATTACATGCCAGTCTTGGTACCTTTCCTTTATGTCTCTTCTTGTTCAATAAAAGATTGTGTGGCATTTAAAGCCTAATCTCACAAAAAGTAGGCTGTTTTTCTTATTTTAATTATAAAATTTGATAGATTTTTTAAAAATTTGCAATCCAACCAAGAGGATGTTTTCACGTGTCCACATTCTGTCACCAGAAATTTTACTATTAAAATGTTATTACTAAAACTAGAAGTTACAAAGGAGAGTCAAATGTAAGAAAGGATAACTTACTATAGAACATATATTAAAATAATAGCTTTAAATGTTAACTAAATACAGATGTAACTAATTACAGCTATCATCAAATTTGAAATTTTTATGTTTCTTTTATATACGGGTGTCAATTAGGTTTTCACTGAACTATACAGACAAAACCTGTCAATAAGCTTTTAAGGCTAGATTTCTCTTGTATCTAAAAAGGTCCAAAATATGATAAAGTATTTAACAAATGTTCGAAAGCCATCTACGTAGGTAGCATGGCCTTTTTGTTGTCCAGGGAGGGCCTGGTATGAGTGTCAAGTGTGTATAAAGTGCTATGTCAGAAGTCATTGCTAGTAGAGTCTTCAAGCAAGGAGAGCCATGTCTCCCTGAGTGGTCAGAGCTTAGGGAACACAGAGCGAACAGGCAGGAGGAAGTAGGTAAGAGCAAGAAGAAAAAGCCAAGGAGCAGAAGAAAATGGATAAAGGCAGTCCCAAAGTCAGACACTGTCACTGTCAGCAAGCTGGAGGTTTCTACTCACCTAGTGAGTGCTGTTAGAGCCAGTCATCCAGAAGTAAAAAAAAGGAGCCCTTCCTCATCCTACACAATGCCACCAACCCAAATTCAATAGCCCGAAACAAAACACAACACATAGTTGACTGTTCAGGCATTTCAGGCTCAGTCACTGTCACATATTCCTTCTTACCAATATTTCTTAAGTCATGTTTAACTTCTACTAACAGAATAAAAGAAAATGTTCATTAAAATAGTAAATATTTAATCTCATTTTAATACCTTTTATCTTTAAGTGATAATTTCTCCAACTGGCTTCTCCAAATTATATCACCATCTGTTTTATTGAAGAACATCAGCTTCACTTTCCTTTAAAGAAAAAATAACAACTCAAAGGAGCTATTTTCAAATACATTTAATATATACACGAATGGAAAGTCTAGAAGTGAACTAGCATATTTTTTGTGCCACTTATGAAAGCAAAGTAACAGAATTCAAAAGAATCAAGTTAATAAAAACAGCTAGGACTTGAGAGTAAGAAATGATGAATAAGGGAATGAAAATATGTCTATTAAGGTTCAGAGTACTTAATTAATTGAATACCTTATACTAATCTAACAACCTCACAAAGGATAGTAATTAAAGATAAAATCACATACCTGAGACTGGGTATATTAGTCAAAGCATAATTCAGTATTTTAACCATTGGTGTGAAGCCTGTTCCAGCTGCCAATAAAAAGAGATCTTCTAATTCTTGGAGCTGGGATATTTTAAAAGTGCCCTCAGGATTGCTTACAGAAACAAAATCTCCTAAACAATGAAATATACACTAAATCAGAAAAAAAAAAAAATTAGGGAAACTGAAAAGGCTAAAACTACCTGAATTTAGAATACTGATGAGAACTAAGATCAAAACTTAACTTTCAGACTACATCTTAATCTTCATAGCAGTTAAGTAGTTTTAGGAATAATCATTAGGGCCTCAAGTATAACTGGATTATATGATTATAATCAGATTAATAATGAGATTTTATTCAACTCACTACCCAATATAATTTCTTCAAACCATTTGGACTCTTATATGTAGATAACTGCCAAGTAATTAAGTACAAAATCTCAAAACAGAATTAACTGACAAATTAAAAGCACCTCAAAAACAGGGTTCATGTATACCTATCTTGCATGGGTATAGGGCAGAGAAAAGATATTCACTATTTGCATATTGATTCTTAACCACAGCAGTAAGATTAGTAGGATAGAAAACTAAAATAGGAATATATTCTAGAATTTTATGTGAGTAAATGTGCTTTTTCTCCATCAAATCTTTGAAAAGATAAACATTAATTCAAACAAGAACAGCTATTCTAAATTTAGTTCCTATGAAAACAAAGCAAAACCAAAAACTGCACTTGGAGCATGCTACTTCCTTCCTGATGTAGACACATAGTAGCTGAGGGCACCATTCTCTGGAATGCAGTTGATATAATCACTATATACTACTCATATGAGAGAACTGCCTTTAGACATTTCAGAAATTTTCTATGTAATTTTAAAAATAAAAGTTGCCTAAAACAAACCATCTATCTATTTAAACACAATTATTCCAGTTTATTTTAAATCTTGGCAGTCATAATTTTTCTTCGTCATAGCAGGATAGTAAAATACTGAGGAAATTGATAAATTAAGCATACTAACAGGATTAGAATCTCCTTTTTACTATAGTTTGAATGGACCATAAGATCAGAGTATCCTTGGGAAAAAGTCAGATGATTGTTCACAAAATCATACTTACCTTCACTAGATTTGTAGCTATTTCAAAAATTCTTTAGTCTCCCATTTTGCACTCAATATTTTGGTATTTATTACCCAAAGATGACTGACTATATCCATTGTATATTAACTTCTAAGCTTAGCTTACAGATAGATTAATATAATTTTCTTTGTTTACATGTTAGTGATCTAGTTTGTTATTATCTTGATGATACGGTTAATGCTGTCTTAAAATTGGAAAGAACACTTTAAAGTTAGGAAAAAGGCAAAAATAAAGTTGAAGACTAAACCAAAGGAGTAGAAATAGGAAGGGGGTCCTCTAAATCTGAACAGATTTCATTTAGTCCCTTTATTAATTCTATTTTAAAAATAGTCCTTTGATGAACTTATCAAGAACCTATTATGTATCAACTGAAATGATGATGTGGGAAATACATGGATGAGAATTTCTACCTTAGAACTTAAAGTTTAGTCAAGCAGAAATATTACTATTAACACACAGCTGTAATTAAAAGCTACTTATTGGGAGTTTCAGTGAAGTAGAGGAAAGAGACTCTCCTCTCTTTTCTATAGGAAATGATATTTTATTTGGGTTTTTGGTGAGTAGAGAAAAAGGAACTTGACAAGAAAAGAAAGGGTTGCTGGGCATCTTAGGTAAGGTGGCTGCATGTGCTTAAAAGTGATGATCATAAACTCTGAACAGCACAAATATTTTTGTACAGCAGGCAATGAAGTTAGAAAGATCCCGAAAGTCTTTGCAGGTCATGCAGAGAACTGAATTAGTTAGATGATAAAGGTCCATCTCAGAGTTCAAAGTTGCAGAGCAACATGCTCAAGATTATAACCAGGATAATTTGAAAAAAGAACTGGAAGATGCAGATAGAAAGAGAAAAATCAGGAGCAACTGACAGGAATCAGTTAAGAAACCAAGACAGAAATATTGAAGGCCTGATCTAAGAGGATGGAGAAGGGATAGATAAGAAAGACTAAAAAGTCACTGGGAGGTGGATTCACTGGAACTCAGTGGCTGATTGGAGTGTAAGAGAGAAAATTGGAAGACTCAAAGATGACTTAAATCTGCAAATTTGGTAAAGGAAGTGATGCTGCAAATAAGAAAGATGAAGAATATGGGAGTAAAGGATAGGTTGGGGGCAACAAACATAGTTTTGGTCATAAATATGTTAAATTTAAGATATCTGATAAAACCCTTGATGGAGAGGACTGGAGGCAAACATACATATGTTCTTATCTAAAACACAAATGAGGCAAAAATACATACATACAAAAATACTAACCAATTTGAAGATGATCAAGTTCTGGTGTTAAGAGTCCAGTGGGATAGATTTTGATCAAAAAGTAGATGTATTTATTGTTGTGAAGAACTGGTTCTTTGCACTCTGAGAGTAAAGATTCAGATACAGGTGTATATGGCTTCACTATTTCTGTACCTAGAAAAGGTCATGATGAAGAAATTAAATTCTAAAAATCTTGAATAAAGATGAAGCATACAAATTTTGTGATGTTATCAATATATATTTAAGAATATGTAATTTTGTGATGCTATCAAAACTATATATACAGTATACAGAATATATATAAGAATATATAACTAGTGAGTATATAATTCTCACCATATGTTCTCAATCTATATAGTATAAGCATATATAAGCATATACCCCACATATATATCTGTGCTGAAATAATTTTAACAAATCGACATAATATAAACAATTAATTTTCAAGGTGGGATAAGTTGATAGGGATTTATATCAATAAACTTAGATGACCATCAATTCCATGAGCACATAAACTTTGAAATGGATGAAAATAAAATGGGATCCAAAATCCACCACTGAGATGTAAAAAGATATTTATATAAGTGATTTTGATTATAGACCTAAGTTGTAATGCTGGTTATAATGGCCAATGAGAAAAAGAACAATTTCCCTTTTATTTATTTTGAACAGCGTTAATATTTTAATATATCATAGATTACTTTGTTAAATAAAACAATGCTAACCCAACGACTTCTAAGAATGTAACATTAAAAAATAGGGCAAAATCAATAAAGAATCCATAAAATGTTATCAGTCAGCCAAATTCCAAAAAGAAAGCCGGAATAGTTGAGAAAGGCCAAAATTTTACAGCTCAAAAACATACATAAACAGTATTAATCCAGCTGTATATTATAACAGATTGATAATGACTGCAATGGGGAAGATACCAGCCACTGAATGATAACCTGGCATTAGTAATGAGGAAGGGAAAAATTTTACAGTGCCATTATAATAAAACATAACCATCAGATCCTGGCTAACAGAGAGTGATTGTTGGAGACACTATGACATAAAATTGTTACTTTTATAGCCTCAAAAGGCCAAGAAAACATTGAACATAAATAAGGAGGATATTTAAGACAAGTAAATGAAATGATTTTAGGATGAAAATGAAGGAAAAATAATTCACACAGCAAGAAACACATTTATAAAGCTGTTTATAAGGTGGCACATAAAAGGAAAACACAATTATCTACCCTTTATGAAACTTATAAATTATAAATTCAACATCATAAATGGCACAACCATTTAGCGGTTACTAAGAGATTCTAGTGGTATATATCTGTAGTAAGTGTTTTCATGAAGAACTCCTTGTGCACTTTCTCAACTCATTCCTTTCAGAGCTCTGCTCTATCATAAATACCACACTGGCAGAACCGTCTCTGCTTAGAGGCAATCTCTTTGTTCCATACAGTAAGATGGCATGGCCAGAGTTCCAACACACAGGAACACTATCCCTAAACCTATATATGGCTATCACTGAGTCTAGCTTCCCAGAAATAATTATTAATAAACTAAATATCTCTTCTTAAAGAGACCAGCACTGATTTTGAAATGCTTATGAAAGAAGAACATGTTTCCCCAAAGCCTCTATTGACCTCACCTGTAATAGTTAGTTTGAGGTAAACATGTTGCCCAATTGGCACCTGAAGGTGAGTGCCTGGTGGCAGCATCCAGCAGAAAAGCTTTGTATCATGGGTAACATCTTCCTTGGAAATTAACTGGCATTTTCTGTAGTACAAACCTAGAAAGCAATTCATTTTATTATTGAGTAATTTCAAAAGAAGTAATCCTAGAGCCACTAAGAAAAGGGCAATCCCAGCATTTGTTCTTTAGTGAGCTTAAATTTCACAAAACAGCCAATACATTTTGAAATCCATCAGTATACTGAAAATCTTATAAAGTTAATTATTCTATTTTCTTTCCTTAGTTACCTAGTTTCTAAAATCTTCTATTTCCATAATTTAAAAAATTACAAAATGGGTGTCATTTCCTCATGCCTGCTATAATAGCTGGAGAAACTGTTGGATGAGACAAAAAGTTGCTAGAGTTTCTTATTTCAACTTACAAGTCTCATTCAAAAAGATGTAAACCATAGTCTTAAGAGTATCACATGGCTTATTAGGTCTCTTCTTTATTTTAAACATGTTAGTTCAAGCACATATGTTTATGGATCATCCCTCCCCCTTTTAAAATGCCCTATTTATTGTCCAAACTAAGGAGCCAGTTTAGTATGTCAAGATTCATCCCAGATAGTTCTCCTCTTCAATATCCTTATTCTTTATTGTTCTGATCAATCCTTTTTTTTCCCTAAAGATTTATTTATTTGTGCATACAAAGCTGAGCTGGGGTACAGGCCAGAGGTGTGGGGGGTGGAGGGGGTGAGAAGATTCATCAGAGACAGAGTGGGGAGCAGAACACTGCAGATGGATTGAAATACACTACTGAGGGGAGCAGCAGGCAGGACAGGAGAGGTCTGCCACACCATGTGGGTCACCCCCCCCACTCCCCCAGAACCCCCCCACACCCTGGCCAGGGATCGAACTCATGCTGCAATGGCTGCAATAGCTTCATGGTGCTGTGCTTTAACATGCTGTGCCACCAGGGAGGGCCACTCAATCCCCCCCCCTTTTTTTTTTAACCACTTATTACTACTTTTAAATGCCTAATACCATTATTTCCTAATTTGGAATCTACCTTTATTTATTCTTCCAAGATCTGCCTGAATCTGTATGGCATCAAATTATTGACACTACATACTTAAAAGCTCAGTCAATGTAAAGGAAACCCCAAAACATACAAATGTCTACAATACTCAAAAACATATTGATGTGTATACCTGGATAGGTTCACAATGTTTTTTTGTTTGTTTGTTTGTTTTGCCAAAACAGTGACCTTGTTGAGCAATGAACTTGACTTCAATGATGAGTTTCTGAATAATTAAGTACAATCTATTTCAGCCACTAAACAAATGTTTAGCAGTTTGACTACTAAAAAACCTCATGAAGTCTTTAGATTATTTTACTACACTAGAGAAACAAAGTTTGAATTGTTGCATGCTTTTAAAATTATTATATAATTTGCATTTATTTTTACATAATTGTGTTATTTCGTTCAAAACCTTACTCAGTCTCATCCAATTTTATAGGGCTTTCATTTAATCTCAGTAATCTAGTTTTATTATCACCACCTAAATCACTTATGCATATTTAAATAAGTAAACATTCATAGTATATCTTCAAGCACTAGCTGTAACTGTCTATGGGTACATTTCTATTCAAATTGTGGTGAAAGATAAGCAGAATGCGCAAAGACTAAGAATTCTGCCATCTTTCCCACCTTCCCTCCACTTTTCCCCCAAGTGCATTTTAAATTATGTTGACAGTATAGATTCCTTTTGAACTATTACTGTTGAAAATATTCCCAAAGTGTATTAGGATGTTTTACTATCTTAACTAGACTTATGTAAACTGAATCTTACTTTCAGAGTGAAGAATTTGTAGGGTTACATTAGCATTAAATGGGGAGTACAGCTTTCTCCAAGATAGATTCAATGGGGCCTTTGTACAGCACAGTTAGCAAGCTTACCAGCAAGTTTGAATATTTCTATACCTATTACCTCTCTTCTCAGATCCACAATTAATTCGCCCAACATTGAAGTGCCTGATTCACCTGAATCCTAAATCTTCAAATATCTTCTGTTTTATCCTTTACTATAGTAAAATAATTTCATACTCAATTAGTCTGCAACATTTACTCTCTGTCTTTTCAGATTTCAATTCAGGCTATTCTGATAACAATTATAATAAGACACAAGATGCCAAAGTGTCTTATCGTTATTATGCAAACAATAATTTAATTTCTGTTGGGTGGGGGAGATACTTTAAGAGAACAAAGAACAGTGAAGTTTGTATTTGCTACTACAATATTTCTTGATTTCTAGTAATTCCAAATGCTTATTTTAGGCAGCAAAGAAGCATGGATATATGACAAGGCTGGGGAGAAGTGAGGGTATTTTTTCTCTACACCTACAAGAAGAGCTGCTCACTGTGACAAGTTTGCTTGCAGAATCATGGGCACCACACATCATCTCAATTAGAAGCATAAGTGCACTGACAAACACATATACAAGACAGACAATACTTCAATGTGTGTGTACAGCATAAGCAGTAAAGAAGCCCTGAAAAATGTGTGGGGTCAAACCATGTAAAAATGCCATTTTTCTAACCAACATAAGCCAGTTCATAGAATTTAGTTGAATTAAAAAAACAGCTATGAATTATGTGTATATATTTACATATCTTTTACATAAAGGTTTGTAAGTATCTATTACCAAATTAAAATTATGACAAAATTTTAAAAATAATATCACAAGATTTATAAGTTATTTGTTGGCAAATCTTTAAAACTGGCATTGTCTAGTTGTCAAAGTCCCATATTACAGGTAATCTTAATGAAGATAAAATTTTAGGTTGTGTACAGAAACAGCAACGTAATTACCAATTCATTTCTTACACTTAATAAAGACACACACACACACATACCCTACTCACTTAAAATTTCCCTTTTTGGAAAGAATAATTGGTAGCATGCAATTCATAAAAGGTTGTCTAGTTCCAGTCATACAATATAAAGTTACCTACTATATTCACATAAAAGTTATTTTTCTTTAAGTTCTATGCTATATTTGCATATGTCATATAAGTATAGATGTGATAGAAAAGGGTACTGCACCAAGTCTTCAACTTACATTCTTATTTTCAACCTAAAATTCTTTTAGCTATAAAAGAATAAGAGGAAGCCAGCAAGTTAATATGATAAAAATTCAAAATTTTGGTAAATCTTATTAAAAACCTAGGAATCCTGTGATGAACTATAATGCAAACATCTGAAGTTATTGACACCAAGGTAATAATGATATAATAATCTGATAATGTGAGTATTCAGTTTTGCTAGTGTATAAAATAAATTTGTTTTCATCACAATTTAAGGAGCAGAAAGGATAAAGAAAAAATTTTCCATGCTAACTCAATCAAATAAATTAAAATTTCTCTAACCTGCAAGTCATTTTTCAAAGTGGAAAACCTATTCACTAAAAAAAATACATGCCAGGCTTCAAATTTAAACAAGAAAGTTAAAGTCAACTATAGTGGTTCATGACACGGCCAAAATGTATGGCAAGGATAAAAGACTTCACAGAAAGCCCCAGCAAATTACAGAGAAGAATTTCTGAGTGATATTCATCCTAACCATTTCCAAATGGAGGCCAGCTGTGGTTCTCACTATCATTTACTTCTGGAATTGACTTTTATTTGATCTGCTAAGATTTTTCAATCACTAGTCAGATAAATTTCAGGGCAAGAGATTTCACTTTAATAATATTTCTTTTCATTTTCATTGTCCTTTACCTATTTGCTTCTGAACTGCTAGATCACACCATTATTCCTCTGTGTTCTCTCTTCTTACCTAATACCACAAAATTCAGCCCTGGTCTGGTAAAATTAATCTATTTGACCTATCCCTCACATAGCTAACATTTTTCATTCTCTACAATCTTCAAAATGCCTGGCACAGTAAGTACTCAATAACAATTTGAAGCTTTACCTGAAAAAAATTCTCTTATAGGGTTTTTTTGAAAGTTACTTTCAAAATATCACTTGAAATTCACTTCCTTCAGGGATTCATTCAAGGTCAAATTTATCTACTTCTCCTTACTTGGGGTTACTTCAGAAAATGTTCATTATATATAATTTAACTTCCTTTGTTGGCCTGTTTATTTAGAAACATATTTTTCAATCTTATGTTTCTATATGTTCTTTCTCCAACTGGGAAAATAATTTCTGATACCTACCTAAAAGCTGTTTATGTACCGTGCCTAAAATAGTTGTCTACAATAATATATACTAAAAATAAGGCTATTTGTTAGTGTTTTTTTGAAAATTAAATTATTCACAAATATAATTTTATAATTTTAATTACTTAAAGATAGTAAATTGATTACTTGCAGCTAGTTCTGATTAAACTACACTAAATAACATAGAGAATTGTATATGTTTGGTTCTTTTTTTTAAGCATTAGTGCAAAAAACAAAGAATGGAAATAAGAAAAAGTAGTATGTTGAATGTTGATAAGACAGAGATGATTAGTAACAAATTAAGGAGACTCATTGAAACTGAATCCTAAGTTACAAGAATAGAAAGTCACAAACTAACTTATTTGTAAACTGAGATGCTCTCTTTAAGGCTTAGGAATCAGCAAGACCATGGACTTCTGAAATTAGAGCAGAGGCAGATGAAGGTTCATATAAAAAGTTTAGATGCCCCCCTCACCTTCCCACCTGACTTACCACTGTCACACTACTGAGCCTCTCTTATTCTGGCAAGCAAGTAGATGTTTCCTCGTAGGGAAGGTAAAACACCATAATTTAGATTCCTAAGATTCCATTTTTTAGATATTATTAGACTGAATTGTGTGGCCCTCAATTTTCATACATTGAAATCATAACCTCCCCCTAGACCAGAATGCGACTGTATTTGGAAATAGGGTCTTTTAGTAGCCAACTAAGTTAAAATGAGGACATTAGGGTGATTCCTGATTCAATATGACTAATGTCCTTATCAGAGGGGGCAAAAAGAACACGGACACACAGACAGTGTACACCATGTCTATAAGCTAAGAAGAGACCTTAGAAGAAACCAACCTTTCCAACACCTTGATCTTAGACTTCTAGCGTCTAGCCTGGAAGAAAAATATATTTTTGTTGGTAGGCTATCCAGGCTGTGGTACATTGTCGGCAGTTCTAGCAAACGAATACAGTATACAAGGCAACAACAATAGCAACAAAGAAAATTGTTTTCTAGGCATCCTGGCTTCTTTTCTTCTGATTTCTAAAATGTTAGGGATAGGATAGGAATTGTTCATTCGTGATTCTAACAAAAAGCTGGCATTAAATTTTTCCCAAAGAAATAATCTAGTCACATAGTAGTTATTACTGTCAATACACACTCATATGCACAAAACTTCCAATTAACTTTTAGAGTTTCACCCTGAAATATAAACAGATAGTTGAGGATCAGAAGACATTTAAAGCAAGCGTGCAATATGAAAGAACAAATCAAACAAGCTGGCACACAGAGGCTATGAAGGTAGAAGAAAACTTAAATAATGAATAATTCTTAAAAGGTTAAGAGAAACTAGTAAGATGAATAGGATGCTAAAACTAAATAAAATAGATGAAAATAGTTTTTAGAAGTCAAGGGATGAGACTGGAAATGGCATCAATAGAAAAGCTGGAAGACACAGCTCAAGAAATCTCCCCCAAAAAATTAGAAAAGAGGAGCAAAATTAAATAAAGAAGTGATAATGAAGGGGTGTGTTTAAAATGTTTAAAATAAGAACAATTCTAGAAAGCAAAAACAGACTCTGGAGGGAAGAGAAATCAGTATTTTCCAGACTAGAAGGTTACAAGTCCCCATAATGAAATGGTACGGAGGATTAACATTCAGCACAAAGAATGAAAAGAGATCCACAGAAAGGCATATAAAACTGTGAAGTTTCAATACACTCGGACCAAGAGAAAATGCTATCAATTTACAAAGAGAAAATACAATGTGTTTGTTTTGGGAAAAGTAATCAATTAGAACACCTACAAAATGCATCCTTTTCTATAAGTACATTATATTTAGCTTAAAACTTTGTTTTTAAATAAAGGAATGAAATGAAGAAAATAAATTAATTATATTTTAGGAATAAATAGAAACTGGCTTAGGTAAGCAGGAAAAAACAAGAAATGTGTCTTCTTCAAAAGAAAAACAAGATGTGCATACAAGGCATAAACTTAAACTTGTCACTGCACTTTTTATAAAAAGGAACCTGAAGGAGTGAGTGGGTGGACAGCAGTCTATATACAAGTGAGCTTCTCCAGTCAGGTATCACCATCTAGTAACTTTGTTATACTTCAACATCAGGTATACAATCTAAAATTTAATTAGTATTTAAAAAAAAAACCTTTTTCAATTTCACCCCAAAGTGGCTGGGTATGTACTGGATTCTGGTACAATTATGTCATAACTTGCTTCATGAACAAAGGAATCAAAACAGCAGCATATCATACCTGTATCTTTCCTTGGGATAAATGAATTATGATTCTCCAAGGGTTGTCCAAGACATTTCCAATGAGTAGTCTTTTTTTTCTTTAGGGCAATCTCAATTTTTCCCACATTCTCAACAACTCGCACTAAAAAGAAAATAAAATTCTATTTGGACTCAGTAAAACTAAATGTTAAGATTGTATTATAAAACCAATCTTTCCCAAGCAACCAACATGTCCCAATCAGATATGAATGACTATGATGATTGTGAGATAAATAAGACTTTGTTTTTACATTCATCAAAATTGTTTGTTTCATGATATTAAACTCAGTCTATTTTATTTTAGATTTAGAGATCTTCTTTCAACCTAATTTATCAAGGGCCCAACTAATATGTATTGCAAGTTTACATATGGGCTCAAATGTAGTCAGCCATGACAACTAAAAAACAAAAAAACAGTGGATGGAAGGTGATATAGGCAAATTGGCCACTGAGTAAACTTACAAAATCAAGACTAATTTATATATTTTAAGATTTCTTAGTTGGCATCAAGGGGTTCTTATGAGTAAATTCAGCAGACCAATAATGAGTCTAATAAGTAAAAAGAGAGCCTTAGGAAAGTAAGTCCATATAAAATACATATAAATCTTTAAATACTAAAGAACATTTAGATTATCTTTTATAAAATGATTTAAGTACATAGGTATAACATAAAAATACAGACTTTTACAAAACTGATTAAATTTTATGAATTGAAAGTGCTTCTGAATCTAACCTATATTTCATTTTGCCTTTAGAAGCACTCTGTTCCTCCTTATTAACATATAATTCAGTAGTAATTTTAAAAAGTAGATTAGTCAAATGAATTCAATTCAAGTGAAGCTTAGCAAGCATAAATCATAGCTCTTCACTTTAAAGAGTTTAACTCAAAAAATTTACAAAGCTTACTATAGCAAACAGAGAAAGGTAAGTACAGAGACAGTGTAAGGTACTCTGAGATACTTTAAAACAAGAAAAGACAGAAACACATACATATAAAATCTGTATATATAAAACAAGCATTACACAGCTCAAAAAAAAAAAAAAAGGAAATCTTGCCATTTGCAATATGAATAAACCTGTAAGGCATTATGTTAAGCGAAATATGCCAGACAGAGAAAATAAATCTGCATAGTATCACTTATACATTAAATCTTTTTTTTTTTTTTCATTGTTGAGAGGGCAAACCCACAGAAACAGAGAACAGAATGATGTTTATCAGGAGCAGGGGAGTTGGCAAGTGGAGAGAGGTTGATAAAAATTTACAAATTTTCAGTTGAAGATGAACATCTACTGTATAACATGGCAAATATAGTTGATGATATTGTACTGTATAATAACTTGCTAGGAAGTAGAACTTGGAAGTGTGCTTACCAAAACAAAACAAAAGGTGATATCTATATGAATTAATTTGATTGTGAGGATTCTTTCACAAAATATACCTGTATCAATCATCACACTGTACACCTGTAATATTATGTCAATTATAATTTAATAAAAGACAAAAAAAATCAAGAAACTACCACCCTATGATAATGTGGATTGTTAAATCCACATTATGCATTTATACACAATACTCCTCATTAATTTAATGTGCTCTGCCAATATTAAGCCTTTAAATATATATACCTAAGAAAAATTAGCATACTTCTATAAGTTGCATATAAGAAGAGCAGAGATGAAGAAGGAAGAATGGAAAGACAAAAAAGGATTTTTTTCTAAGGCAAGAAAAAGGAAAGAAGTAGCAAGGGAAAAGATTATATATGTATGTATGCACAAAAATAAGTATCTTTTAATAACTTACCAGAAAAATCCTCCTGAATCTCATGATTCAAACCTGGAAGAGAAAAATATATTTAAACTCTAACTTTAATTCATATAGTCTATGAACACCAGAGAAGATCATTTAAGTGGGTCTTTTTTGCATTATTTCAAATCTCTCAAGTGAAACATATTCTGAAAGATCCAAAGAAATAAACTGTACTTAACCAAAATGTAGTCATTTATGTCATATATACGGAGAGGTTCCTAGTAATAAGGAGTAAGATACTTACCAATATGTACAAGATATGAAAAGTCCTTGATAATTGTTTCTGTTCTAAAGGAACTGTCCTGATGATCAACTATTACTGAATCTAAAGTGATATCCTTAAAAAGAAAACAAAAAAGGAAGATCAAAAGTAAATATTTCCCAACCATCTACAACTATAATTTACAGGCCAAAAATCTAAACATTATTCCTGTTTTTTCCTCTTTCATTCAGTCTAGCTCTTCAAAGTATATATCAAAATTTTAATTACATATTTGTCTCCGTAAGTACTATCTATCTTATCAACTTGTTTCTAAGTTCTATACATTAAGAGACTGTCTTCAGAATACTGCTTGACTCTAAGTAGGTACACAATAAATACTTACTGAATAAATAATTTGGAAAAAGAAAAAGATAAAAAAACAAGATAGTTATGCTCATTTAAGCTTTCCACAACTGGGTGGTACTGGGCAAATTTCACAACCTCTCAGCCTCAGCTTATCAAAACGTAAATCCAATGATCTCTAACTTCTACATAACTGTGACTCAATTTATTGTGATTCCATTCACTTACATTCCACACTGCACATACTATCCACATGGAAACCCTCCCTCTTCCCTTAGTCATCTACCCACTGTCCTTGTTGCTATCACCAATGCTGCAGACCTCAACCTTCCTTGGCATTGCCAGGTTGGTTTTGGGCTGCATGATGGAGCTGATAATGGGAGGAGTTGGAAGTGGGACAAGCAGTGCCTCTGGCCCTCCTGGCTCTATCAGCTACTCTCTTCTGAGGAATGATCAAGTCATTCTTCAAGAGTACAGAGGGACACTCTGGTTCAGATGAGGTTTTAATACTACAGAAGCAGCATGAATACTCAGAAATTCCTGGCTGTCAAAACTTGGTTTCAATCTAATGGTTCCTCAAGTGTGGGAGCTTAACAGGTACTGGAGGATGAGTTTAGAGATGTGTTCAATGATCTGCTGATAAGATGATTTCCCATCTGAACTGTAAGCCCCATAAATGCCAAGCCTCTGTGTAGCCAACCCATCATTACATCCTTAAATTCCATCAACACTGTGATGCAGGCAAAACAGTATTCGATAAATAGTTAGTGAGTAAATGATCTCTTTGATTTTTATTTCAAGAGGGCATTTGAACTCCATTAGTGGTTTAAATATATTAAGCCACAGTAATATAGTCTCTCCAAATCTATTTATATACTAAAAATTAGTTTTATGATGAAGTTAACTGGGACTCTTACTTTCATTATCTATGATATTTTTAAAAAACCACAGAACTTCACAAAATAAAATACCTCTTAATCTAGTGTTTTCTAAGGGGCTGTAAGTAAGATTATATACCATGGAGCTGGGTTGCCTGTGTTCAAAACTCTAGAACTGCCACTTGTGGTGTGACTTCAGGTAAATAACTTAATCTCTCTGCATTCTTTCTGTAAAACAGGAGCAACAAAAGCATCTACTGCACAGAACTACTGTTAGCAAATACATTAATATAAGAAGAGTCCTTAGAAGAATACCTAGTGCATAGCTAACACTTTTTTTCTGGTTTAAAAAAAATGTGCTTACCTTCTGTTTAGTATATATGACAACGGTGACTAAAGAGTCTGTCTGGAACCAGTCATAGCTGTAAAATATTTTTAAAATGAAGAATTATATTGATAATCAAGTGCATTATCTTATATTAAATCATTAAATACATGTGGTTTAAAATTACATGTGGTTTAAAAATATACTGACATAAATAACATATAATTTAAACTATATGGTTTAAAATCTATAGTGAAAAACATATTTCTCAAGGTAAACTTTTTCCTAAATAATCAGTGATCTTATTATGTAATTATATAATTTTTAATTATTTTCAAATTTAAAAATTTTATATATTTCCATGTGTCCTAACATGAATAAAAGCAAACAGTATCTTCGACGAATCACTTTAAAAGCTATACATATTACTAAAATTTTATTATTAGAGTAGTAACAGAGAACAAATGTTTCCTTAAGGGGCATATTTACTACCTACACATGGGCACCAATAGGTGACTCCTAGAGGAGTTATTTTTAGACTTTTAAGATAATAATGAAATTAAGTTAACAAGTACAACAATACACTACTATATAAAGATTACAAGTGGGGGAACAATAGTTAAGAGAATGAACAACAAGGAATTCCTAAGGGAATTAGAAATAAAAACACATATGCAGATTGCTTCATTTACTACCAGGTGTACATTTTATTATGAAGGACTTTCATAAAAACTGGTTTAAAAAACTACATATGCCAAAAAAAGTTGTTATGGTATATTCATATGGAATGCAGACAAAAATGCTCTTACAGAATATTTAACATCTGAAAAAATTGCTCACAGAATTAATTTTTGATAGAGTAATATGGGAACAAGTATTACATGAGTCCAACTGGGTAGAACAAAACAAATATTAAGATATGTAGAGTTGATGGGGTTACCATAAATTTTTTATCACTTTCTTGTGTCATTTGTCTATATTTGCCAAGTTTTATGGCAGAAATATACATTTTATAATCAGAACAAGTATTTTTGTATACTTTTTTAAAACTTTAGTGTTTAAAATGGATAATGGTAAGCTTAAGCTATATTTAAAAATCCATGTTTACAAAATAGCTCATTCTCCAAAATTTCTCCAAAATGAGGCACTATCTATATCTTGCGTCAAAGAAGCACATAATAAGCCATAAATCAAACCCAGAGATGTTTTCCTTATTTGAGTGTATATATAGTAAGTGAAGAATTGATTCAGCTTTTAAAAAGTACAAGAACTGCACACCTTGGAGAATCAGGCTCATGTTTGACAAGGTTATCTGTCACTTGGCTCTTGAGAAGGATACCTTGATAAAGAAATAACAATAGTTAACAGTTCATCTATACAGCATTTTCTTCTCCCAGTAAACTTCTTAAAATATTTTAAAAATTATAATAATATTGTGAATGTACAATTCAATGAATTTCCATAAAGTAGAACATACCCTAGTACCCCCTTCCAATTGCCTCTTCTCGCCCAAGGGAAGTCACTTTTCTGACTGTTAACTCTATGATTAGTTTATAACTGTATTTGACCTTTATACAAACGTAGTCATAAGATATATTCTCTTATTCTGGCTTTCTTCTCAGTATTTATATATATAACAGCTCTTATGACAAGTAAGTATAAATGACAATAATCAATAAGTCAAGGCTAAAGATTTCTGAGGTTTTATCCATACTTTTGAATATATCAGTAGTTTGTTTCCTTTAATTATTGAGTAGTATAACTTTGCATGCACATTCTAGAATTTACTCATTCTTCTGTTAACAGACATTACAGTTTTTTTCCAGTTTTGCTACTATGAAAATTCTTGTTCATGTATAAACACAGAATCAATGTTTCTGGCACATACACAGGGTATATGCATGATAAGTAGATACTGCTCAACAGTTTTTCAAAGTTGTACCAATTTATACTTTTTTTCAGAACTGTTTGAGAGTTCTAGTTTCTCCATTGCTTCAGACATTATATTCACTTTCCATTTTAGTCATTCCTGCGGGTATATATCAAAATAGCATTTTACATGTCCATTAATACTGTGGTTTTCAAACTGCTATAGAAAACTCAGACATAGAAAAAATGCTGGAGATTATGAAAAAAATAACGTTAGTCGCCCTACCCCCCTCTCCCCCCCTGCCCCCCACCAATCAGAGTACTTTGTATGTACCTATGTTAGTTTGGAAAAAGACTGCTACTGCTAAGACTACTGAAAACACCACATCAATTATTTTAACTATTTTTCCAACTATGCAGGAAAAATAAAATGTAACATTAGTTTCCAGTGAGTCCTAGAATTTTCATATCAGAAATCAGAAGTCATAATAATTATATAGAGTTAAGAGGCACCTTTGAGACAAACTAATTTAGAGATTTTCAAGTTTCTGTTCAGTTACAGAATTTTCTACTAAAACACAAATTTAAGTATAAGCACAAGCTGTCAGACACATTTTTTTTTTAGATGAGGCTAACAGCCCTAAGAACAGACCCTACTCAGCCTTCAATCCTTCCCCATGTCCCTCTGTAGAACATCTAATTTTCAGATAAACAGACAAGGATGTCTACAAGATGTAACATAACAAAATCAAATTATGAAATAATTAGCAGTAAACTGAAAGAAGAATGCTCTACCACAAAGTTATAGGTCTAGCTGATGGAGAAAGGGATAGAACAGAGGCATCACAAGACTAACACAGGGAGTTAGGGGTGTATAGAAAAAGACAAGACTATAATAATTGAAATGTACTTTTTTCTAAATAACATTAATTAAAAATAACTTATTAATTTGAATTCCTGAAAAATTTTGTTACAAAATTAATAGCATTCATTTTTTGGGAGGCCACCTACAGATATAAATAAAAAACAAACACCACAATCTAAGACTATATCAGAAATGTAAGGATAGCTGTAAGAAAAATTCATCAATATAAATTATGAATCATTAGTCAATATGAACTTATTTTGACCTGATTAGGGCCAGGAACTCTGGATTCGAGTTCAGGGTCTACACTATGATCTTATGGAAAAACCCAAAAAACAAAAAACACTGTTCCCTTGTCCTCCAATCCAAAGCAGTAAAGAAATATGGCCTGCAATCTTAAGATAGCAAATAAGACAACTGCCAAATACTAATAAAGTAGGGAGTACCAAACAAGTACAACTTAATTAGAAGAAAATATCAGAGGTCAAACAAAATGCATTATATGTACTTATATAATGTACATTACATGTAATTATATGTAACATCTTACATTCAATATCTTTCAGGATAAATTGAAGGAACTCTGGTATGGTTGTGGGGTGCAGCAATTTAGTTAGGAAGTACTGAACCTTAAGAAGGAGCACGCTTTCCCTAAAATGCTGATTGATTGACTAATGTCAATTGGAAAGGATCTGGCAGAATACTATGTAGTCAATCCGTTCAGTATTTTAAATAGCCATAGGCATAGCATATCTGCAGATATCTAGATTTATCACACAAACTTCAATGAGAAAAAGTGAGCCAAATAATATATATGATATTTTTATATTTACTCTTACAGAATCCAAGACCATGAGGTAACTGCGTTAACTAGACTACCTATTGAATGTTATATTCTATCTTCAAGGCTTTAACTGATATATTGGTTAAATGCAATGCATCCAAAGACAGGCAACGTGGAAGTAAGAGTTGTGGTAGGAAAGGAAATGCCAACTCCATCAGAAATTAGTTTTCAATTAAAGATTGTACAGTATCACATAAGAGAATTACCAGATGAAATCTAAGATCAGTCTCTCATCATATAGTGTTATACTTTTAAGATAAACCTCTTCAGATGTTATGTCACAAATTACATAGTTAGCATGCAATACAGACTATTTTCTCTAGTTAAAGAATACCTTATTTGGCAATCTACTTATAGGCTGAATTTCTATAACTTTCTTCAGCAGAGAACAAATATTTCTAAACATATATTAATTTACTGAGTCCTAGGAGCCCCATGCATAAGAGTCAGTACTGACAGTCTCTCTTCTGAGGGTGGAAGTCCTAATCATAACTAAAGCCAGGTGTCACTTAAAGACATTTGTCAACAATGGACTGCATATATGATGGTGAACCAATAGACTACATACTACAGCTGAGTGTCGTGGAGCATACAATCAGTGTTTGTAAAGTTATACTCTATGACATTTGCATGATGAAATCACCTAATTATGCCTTTGTCAGAACACTATCTGTTATGTGACTTGTTACTAGTTGAGCCGAGGACAGATGAACACATGTTCAAAGATGTCATAGGAGCAATTACTATAAGAGGAATGCCAGGAATAGGGGATCTCTAATGTTTGCCAAAACCTAATGTTCGAACAAGTCAATGTTCATATTAAAAATATTAAATACCCCCAGATAATCCTGAGAAGCAGTATTGTACATAATCATTTGAATGATTCATTTTTTATTATAAAGTTACATGACTTACCATTTAAGACTTTCTTTTCCTCACAATGGTCTATATCTAGAGAAAAACATATGAAAAGTTAGAGAAGAATACTATAACTAATCAAAGAGATTATTAGTTGATATTACTGATTTAAAGATAACTGTCTTATAGTTTTGAACCAATTTCTTCCAAGGTCTGAAAAATTAGACTAATAAACAGATGGCCATGTTTTAATTAAGTTTAATTTCTGAAGACTGCCATGCTCTTCCTCCAGATGTTTGTCTCCCATTTCAGTGGGTATATTTTATATGCTTTTAGTAAGCATATAAAAACCCAAGTTTTGGCCATGCTATCATATTCTAAATTACTTAGTATTGATAGATTACATTTAATAAGTGAAATATACATCTTAACAATACAAGAGACCTTTTAACTTACTACCTTTACCGTTAATTGAGGTTAATATTTATAATGATTATTAATATTATTCCAAATTTTTAAAATATTTTAATACAATATATAACAACCTTGTGTATTTTTTCACAATATGGGATTTCTCTCCTCAGGTGTGGTCACCATAGTTTTCCCACCACCAAGTGTGCCCAGTTCTCCACCAGTCTCTCTCTCCAACCTTCCCTTTCTTTTTTCTCACTCTCCCCTCCCCTCCACCCCTTGCTTTGAAAGCAAACCTTCAGACCTATGGTTTGTTTTCAAAGGTTAGTCTTATGGTTTGTCTTTGTCCAACCTTTTGTTTAATTTCTTTAGTTTCCACATATATAAGTGAAACCACTCAGTAATTACCTTATATCTCACTTCATTTAGAATAATCTCTTCCATTTCCACCCATATTACCATAAACTGCCTGAGAAAACCACCCAATTTACAATCTCACCAAGAAAAAATTAGGACCTGGGAATAAATCCAACAACAAAGGAGGCAAAGGAACTATACAAGGAGAGCTATAAAACATTGCTAAAAGAAGCAGAACACAAAAAATGAAAAGATATTCCCTGCTCATGGATTGCAAGAATCAATACTGTCAAAAAGACTATCCTATGCAAAGCAGTTTATAGATTCAATACAATCCTAATAAAAATCCCAATGACATTCTTCAAAGAAGTGTTAACATAGATTACTGAAATTTATACAGAAACACAAAATAAAAGCCCAAATAACTCTCCTTACTAAATGGAGGTATATAACACTTCCAGTCTTCAAGTTATACTATAAAGCCATAATAACTAAAAGAGCATGTTACTGTTACACTAAATTTAAATGTTTCAGGTGTGCATATAATGCAGCTGTCAAGTATTTCAGTTAAAAAAGAAAAATAACAAGCTAACACAAATTATCTAAATAGTAAATTGTTAAAGTTATATCACCTTGTCTTATAGGGAAAAAAAAAAAAAAAAGTACATCAAAGTTTTCAGGTATTTATGTCCTGGTTTTCAATCAACCAGAGACACACAACAACTACCTTTATTTCCCCCCATTGTTGTGAAAGTCAGTCATGATTAAGGAGGATAGATAAACACCCTTTTCATCTGTTTTCCCTATTTTCAAAAATAATTTCACAGCTGAAAGGGATCTCATTTCTTAATATGCCATTGTTAGAGTTAATACTTCCTAAAAAGGCACAAGACTCATTTAAATTTTACCTTCAAATGAGCTTTGCTGATCAACCAACAGATAAAAATCTAGTCATTATGGTTTACAAGGGATCACTGACAGACTAACGCTTGTCAATTACTTTCATAATTACTTTCACTTAGTATTTCATCTATTTTTGTGAATGCAGTTGTGATTATTTGTCTTACCTTAGGACCAAAAGTAAATCCACAGTAATATAAATAAATAAATCTAATTTCAGCATACTACAGAGTGGCAATTTGATGAATCTCATTTATCAGCTAAAGCAATGTTTTATTTAATAGGCTCACAGGTTATGAAAAATTGTCTCAAGTAATTGAAATCTGTCTCTATAGAAATTATTTTATATATTATTATATTGTAAAATAACATATATATTATCTCATATGATTACTTCTTACTCTGATGTATACTTATTTGAATCTGAGAAAGCTCTGGATTTTGTTAAATTAGTCTTTCCTGAGTTTTCTCTTAATACAAGAAGTGCCAGTAGAAACTTCTACCCCAATGATCTAAATTACCTTTAAAAATGCTACTAGTCTACTTTTGCAACTCTTTTCAAAAACTGACTCACAGAAGTAAGAGACTATTTCTTACTATCAAGCATACTTGATAGTAAGAGTCATCTGAGTCATTTTAGTCACATGAGGTATTCTCCCCTTTGACGTGCAACGCAATATTCTGTCTTGATAATGAATTCTATTAGTTGGCTGGCTCTGTGGTCAAAAGGATTCATGTCATTGCATAAAGTTGGTCAAACTGCATTACTCTGAGAGGGAGGGGCCTTTGCTCTTTGGAGAGGCAGAGGAATCATTTTGAAGGTCAACAATGTGATCTATTAGCACTTCATTCTCACTTAGTAAGAGGGCTTCATGAGGATTTTTTTTTTCAACTTGTTTACAACACTGTGTATGTTTCAAAGGCATAGGATCCTATCTCCCAGATGCCCTCATCACATCACAAGGCACCCATGCTTGCCCCCAAGGTCCATTATGCCTCTTCTCCCTCTGGTAGCCACATCTCCATCTCGTTTACCTCTGCTAAGTAGAGCTACAGGAGGATCCTCTGAAATAAAGAAAAGAAAACCTGTCTTCCCAGTATGCTCATTCTTTCAATAAGTATGTGTTGATCATCATGTTAATAACAGGAACATCGCAATAGCTTAAATATGTTTTGAAAACCTGTAGGTGTTTATTAGATAGAACCTGAAGAAAAACATTTTAGAAAGACAAATGCTGAACATTTATCTTTGAAAGTTTTATATTTATTGTATAGCTATATACCTCATTTTGTCTTCTGACTCCAAAAGATTGTTAACATGTAGTTACTACATAAGAGAGCAGTCTTGCACCAGGGAACTTAGTCACAACGTGCAAAACACACCATCCTATGTTCCCTTTACTACTGAGCCTTGCTCAAAGACTTCTTGACTCTTTAAATGGATTTAATAAATATTTTTCTTTAGAAAATCTTCTATGTTCTACATAGAATTACTCATAACATAACTGAGTCTCAATTCTTGTTTTTGTTTCCAAAGTTATATATTCATTTCTCAAATTTCATGTAATTTAATGATTTCTCAGTATTGTTTTCCTTTATTCAGCTCTGTATCAACTTTGGAATCATCTATAAATTTTATACATCTCTCAAACTTCAAGGCCTGAAATTACTCTTTACCCTAAAAGCAAAGTAATAGCAGAGTTAAAACTGAGATTTAGTAATTCAAACACATACGCTGAAAAATTCCAGAGCTTTACAAGCTTTAAAAGTATTAGAGTACTGATACTAATGTCTGGACAGTTTTATCCCCCAGTATTCACTTAATCAGAACATACACTGCATTTTTATATTTTCTCCCTTCTTAGGTTACACTTGTCAATCTTCATTCAATTCTCCAATTGATCAGTTATTTTTCATTCTTGCCCAATTCTTTGAGGGATTAACCACTTACTCCTTTCTGACTTGGAATTATCTACAGAAAATATAGGCATACTCAAAAATCATCTTTCTCTGAAAATAACACAAATACTTACCAAACATTCAAGTCAGTTACACCCTAAAAGCATGTCATGTTTTCTGTTTATAGATTAGAACCTGCTCCCTGATCAGGGATCTTTCATCCTATTTTTTAATTATCTCTCTCTTATACCTGTTTGGGAGAAATCATAGCAGCAAAAGCAAAGTAAGGCAACCAGACTGATAAGGGGATTTGTTCATGTAGTAAAATCCCCATGACACACTGCCTCATTTTCCCCAACTTTAGCTATCTTGTTTCTCCCCTACCAATTAGCCTTTGAACTTATGTTTTGTTTATCCATTTGAGCCCTGAATTGTTCCCATGTCACAATGTACCTCCTAGAAGTGTGAACTTTGACTTTATAGAAGCTGAACTTCCAGCTGCTAGTCAGTCTATCCAGTAAGTCTTGATGGTCTCACAAAGCCATGATGTAGGGGAATACTGCAGAATTAATGCCTTAATACTCTTCGGGTGCTGGCAGACATTCCTTATCCTATAGATACCAGAGTTAGCCAGAGATGTCCTGAAGCTATATATTGTTTACATACCACATTACATAACTTGTCACTAATACCATCAGTTTGGGGCTGCAAATTCAGTGTTATGGGAGTCTTTTCTGAGTATTGCAGGGCATTTAGCAGTGTTCATGACTTTATAATCAGAGCTTGGGTTTCCTATGGCCAAGAAGCAAAGAAGGGAAATTTCACTATATATCTTTTCACATTTTCTAATTTTTTAGTTATGCCAATTCATATTCAAAAAGTTAAATCCTGAAAACCAGTCTAAAAGCTAACTCTTAACAAGTGTTCCACCTAATCTGTCAACAGAATTAAAAAAAAAAAAGAACACTAAAATAAAGAGAAACTAAGATTCTTTCACTTCCATAACATTTAATCCTCACGCCATAAATGTTCTCTTAAAATTTGCCAAATTTTAAGATAAAGCCATTGTTCCATTCTAAAGAACCAAAGTAAAACCTACAGTCACTTAGCTCAGGCTAGTGAAAATGAAAACAGTGTAGTGATTTAGTCTATTTGTTGAAATGTTAGTAAAATAAAGTTCGTATGTATCACACAGACTTCTGCTTTACGACTAGTGCTACTTACCTTTAGGAGCAGCAGGTTTCACTGCCATTCTACCAACCAGGCATTCTTTCAGCATGGATTCATAATTGACCCAACGATGAACCTAGTAAATGAGGTAAATGACAGAAAACATGACTCGTGACTCCATGAGATGCTCTCTAATTTTAATCAGGGTAAAACAAACATTCTTTAACTGTTCTGAAAATCAGATTCAATTAGTCAACAATGGAGGGACAGAGAAGCACCACAGACAGGAACTATTTAGACAAAATTCTCAAAATAATATTGCAGCCCTCTGGAGGGAGATTCCTGACATCCTTTTTGATAGCCATGAAGTCTCACTTAGCTTCAAAATATAGTATTGAATATTGTTATCTGGCTTTTTCACTTTGTAGACATTTTCACTTATGTTAAAAGGCAAAGGTAGGCAAGACTTCTAGCATTTTAGCACAAACGAATGCAGTGTTTTCCAACTGTTCTAATCATCATTATATTCTTTATCATCAGAAGCTCATAGGGTTGGGAGAAAACTGGTTTCATTTAAGAACATCTTTCATGATAGAGCAAAAATGATTAATTTTCTTAAATCTTAATCACTGAGTATAGGTTTTTATATTATTTCTGTCTGACAAAATAAGTTCATAAAAATACTTCTGCTGTAAAGTAGATGTGGAGGAAAAACTTGGGCAGCTGTTTGATTTGAAAGTTTAACTGGAATTTTTCTTGAAAGGCTATTTAAAGGTAAAAGAAGGACTGATAAATGAATTGGTTATTCAGACATAGATATCTGAAAGATGTTTTCTGAAAATGACAAAATTAGACTATTACACCAAGGAAGACTACTGTCCATATCTGTGCCTGGACTTATTGCCAGGGATTATCTTCAAGCAATTTGTCTGTTGGGTCTCTTCAGCTCTTTCATTCAGTAATTTAGGAATTTACCTGAGAAAATACTCGCATACAAACAAAGGAGTACAGGGAACTCTAAGAGCTCTATTCATCTTAGAAAATACTACAAACAATACAAACATCCATTTAGAAAAGACTAATGAAATAACATCATACTATATTACTCAATAAAGAGTACTATACACAATCACTAAAATAATGAGGTCAAATAATACTGGTATATGGTACATTCCTGCATGAATATATATTAACACATCAAATATGCAAAAATACATGTGTAATTAAAAGTAGGTACTCACTTATTAATGTACAGTGAAACTTCACTTTCCTAATAATGAAATATATCTAATAATGGGTAAAGCAATGTATTAGGGGTTATATCAAATTTTAAAGGAGAAAGATATTGAAGGAGGTAAGAAAAGATACAGGGCCTGTCAATCATGGAACTGTTGACAAACTGCAGGTACTTTATTAAAAAATGTATTATTAATGTAATGTTAGTTGACACTGTTGTTTATATTTTGGAAGTATAGGTATTTTAGTTTGTCAAAGCAAGATGAATATTGAAAATATTTACTTTGATAGATTGTTTCTTTGGGCCTCAAATTCCTCTAGAGTTGCCAGAAAGGTATTAGGGTATAAAGGTATAAAGGTATTTAAGAACATTCATCTAGTTGTCATGTCTTTAAATTGGTACTAAGGGCAAAGATATCAGGAGAATATTAAGAGTAGAGGTAGAGGGGAAGTTGGCAACTTGATGTAAGACAGTGGGAAGAGAGAAAAGGTTTAAGTAAAACATTATAGGATCTCACCAGAGACTGTTAGTGGGATACAAGCAGAGAAGGCAAAGATTACTCAATAACTTCAAATCTCCTGATTCTCTTCAGAATCAGGAAAGTGAGGGAAAGGAGGAGGAGATGATTATTACTGAAAACACACTGAGTTGAAGTACCAACAGGTAATCAAATTGCTCATCAGGCATTTGAAAATATAAGACACGAAGTCAAAAGTGCAATCAAAAATAAATAAAAATAAAAATATTCTCTATACAACTCAAAAGTTATGCAAAAACAAATTCTTACATATTTATAGATGCAAGAAGCTTTACTACAGTTTCAAGAATATAGAGCTGTTTACTTCTACAATAAGTAAAGTTCACAAATAATTTAAACATTACTGGCTTTATTAAAGTGAAGGGGGTTGCAGCAATCTAACCTCTAATTGCTTTAACTGTTAAGATTTTCACAGTATAACAGTTGACATTCCTAAAACAAGCTACCTTAAATAGTCAATATAACCTCACAACACTGGGAAATATAAATGGGACTATATTTTACTGAAAATTCTTCTTGTGGAAGAGCACGTTCAACATCAAGATGTTACAGGGAAGACAGAAAAATATAGGCAGACAGATTTTCAAGGAAGTGTTCCCAAACCTTTCTATTTGGCTCACTTTGCTAGAAATTAAGAAACACCAAATCAAAAAGGGGTATTTGCCTTCACACAGCAATGGGAACCTGGAACCTACTATGGATACACTACTATGGATAATGGAAAAACATGACTTCTCTACCCCCAGGATATACATTAACAGTAAGTGGGATTTTGCTATATAATGGGATGCTGTTTTTTAAGCAGATGCATCTAAGTACATTTAAGTACAAAACGAGTTATGTTCCTTGCAACCTGGTCAAAAAATAAATCTTAAAATGGATGAGAAGGTAGAAAGGTGCAGAAATCAAATTATATTTGAACATAAAAGAACATTTTTGGCCTCCCTGGTGGTGCAACGGGTTAAAGCACAGCACTGAGAAGCTAAAGCCACTTCAGCATGAGTTTGATCCCCGCCCTGGAGGTGATCCAAATGGTGCAACAGACCTCTCCTGACCTGCCAGCTCCTCCCCTCCGCAGCGTACTTCATCAGTTGGCCTGTTCTGCTCCCCACTCTGCCTCTGGTGAATCCTCTCACTGCCCCTGCACCTCTGGCCTGTACCCCAGTTCTGTATGCATAAATAAATAAATCTTTAAAAAAAAAAAAAGAACATTTTTATAAATGACCAACCTGATTCAGGTTTCTGGAATGATAAAAACCAGGTACTACATCATGTCTAATTATCACTAAAGAACAAAATAAAGTATATGTGAGAAAAAAGCAAATTTTCATTCGCAAAACTGCTTTAAAGTAACAGCTCAAAAAAATGGCAGCAATCAACATATTCTATAGAATTTTTAAATAGCAGAAAAAACAATACTGACTTGCAGTAAATATTAAAGGGGAACATAGCTAATTTAAAGTGTCTTTTGAGATATACAACAGAATCTCTACTATTATCATAGGAAAAAGTAAGTTTTTTAATTCATTCATTAGCCTCATCTAACTTCTTATATGATATGCAGACTCACTACAGCAAGACAGTCAGATTATGTAACATCTCCCAAATGAGGAAAGACTAAGAGTAAAGAAGCCAAGAGACTTGTCCTTTAGTCTGTGTCACTTCCTTCCATAAATCAGTCATCATCATTATCAAAATCAACCTCAACTAAGTAAATACTTGTCAGCAGAGACCTAACCACAAATTTGAAAGCATTTCTAAAATTTTAATAAAATAATTGAAAGATCAATTAAATGAATCACTGTTATCTGTGAGCATCTTTCCATATTTCAAAATTCAAGGCAGACATTTGAAATTTTTGCAATTATTTCCTTTGTGTCTACAAATGTCACACTGTTAAATCTAAGACTGCTCTTCTAGCCTAGCAGTTTATTTTCAGCATTTTACCTGATCAAAAAGGTCAGTACCATCTGATCCTGCTGCTCTCATTAGTTCGTCTTCACCACCAGGATGATACTCCATATATGGGCTGACATTATAAACACACCCTATAAGAAAGCAAGGAGAAATAATATCCAAAACAAACTTCTTAAAAAAATTATATTAGCTACAAGTTGTAATAAATATTTTAGGCATCCCACTTAATAAAGCATCACTATTTCAAAATGTTAAGACTCTTATGAAGGATCTGAGCTTTTACTCTAGTTGCAAGCTAACAAATAATTTGAGATTTCCAGATGAGTAGCAAAGGACAATTTAGTACTTACATCAACAGAAGTTGCTAGAATGCCATTTTTTTGCAGCAATTTTCTGAACTCCAATACCCACAAAGCTATGTAAAGAAGACCAGATAACACCTGCACAATGTGCTATAGGACTGGAGAAGACCCCAAATCTTTTACAATGGACACTAAGTATGCCTGTGTTCTGAAGGGAGATATTATTGTATCACAGTGAATAGTAAGAAAACCTGTCCTTTGTTCTCTAAGGCAATACAATCTCTCATCAACATCCATGAAAAGAGTACAGAAAAAGACAGTCAGTGCTTTTGTTCACAAGATGAAACACTGTGTATCTAATTTCTAAAGTATGTATACAATTCAGCAATAATGTTTAAACACTACTGCCCTGCTGAAGAATTTGATGAAAAGAACTGAGCTCTCATCCATATGTCTTCTCACCTTGGCAAAGGCTGAGCAATGGTGACTGGGTCATTTAGGCTACGCTTCAGTCTTTAAAAACTATTAATGTCAACGTATTTATTTCATCAATTTATATATTTAACTCTATTTTTACCTTTTAAAAAAGAATAAAAACCAACATTTAAAGAACAGTTCAATAAATAACCTTCTCAAGGAAATGAGTTGCTTTTTAATACTTTGCTCAAAAACTATAGAACGGTAAATAAGTTCAGTCCTGAAGAAATCAAAAGTAAGCAATGAAAACAACTGGTTTCTTTATACAATCCCTTTTGTATGATAACTTACAGAATTTAATAATACCAGTTAACTGAAAATGTCCATTCTATATAATAATCTTGGATTTCAGACCCAAGAAAGTTTTTTTTTCCTACTACTTTATTATTAGGAAATAACCAACTAGTTCAAATTTCTTAATGAAATTGCATAAAGCCAGGCAGAAATTCACAGAATCTCTTTATCAGTCCTCCAAATAAATTAAAAAGCAAAACAAAACTGACAAAGTTTTCTCCTTTCCCATGCACCTATCCCTAACAAATGTAGAAGGCAATTTCCTATTGTTTAGTGCTCCAAAATAAAGAGACCACAAATATAAGTGGCAATGTGTAAGATCTGAATTATTCCCAATAAACTTTAAAGGCAGTGTTTTCTAAATAAGATTTCTATACTTACTCTGCAACCAAGGATCACATGATCATCTAAACAGTGACAACATTTCATGTATTAAAACAACCAGCACAGAGACAGCTTTAACAGCTCTCCACCACTACCACATACAGACTGCAACTCCCCAACAGTGATCTGCTGCCTCACATTGCTTTAGAGTAGTGGTCATTATTCCCTTACCATGTGATCATTCTTTTTTTTTTTAAATTTCTATCTTTTACATCATTGTATATTATCTGTAAAAAATTCACCCATGAACAATCACCATAGTCCCTTGTGCTCTTCTTTCCCATTCTGATCCCTTTTGCTTCTCTTCCCTCCCAGAATGTCTCTGACTTACAGTTGCCTGCTAATTTTGTTGTTTTTATTATTATTAATGATTTTTTTTTTCCTGATCCCTTTTTTGGTTCCCTTATATTCCTACTATAAATGAAACCATTTGATATTTTTCTTTTTCCTTGTGGCTTACTTCATTGATCATGATCCCTTCTAGCTCCATCCATGTTGCTGAGAATGGCATGAATTTATCCTTTTGATTGCCTAATAGTATTCCACTGTATTTGTTTCCTTTGCATAGATTGGTAAGGAGTGGAATTTCTGGGTCACATGGTAGCTCCATTTTTCGTAGTTTGAGGAACCTCTACACATCTTTCCATAGTGGTTGAACCAGTCTGCATTCCCACCAGTAGTGTAGGAGTTCCTTTTTCCCACATCCTCACCAACATTTGTCATCGCCTGCTTTTTTTAATATGTGCCATTTCACTGGTGTAAAGTGGTTAATCTCTTTGTGGCTTTGATTCACATTTCCCTGATTATAAATGATGTTGAATATTTTTTCATGTACCTGTTGGATATTTGCATTTTCTCTTTGGAGAAGTGTCTTAGTTCTTCTACCCATTTTTTTGACTGGATTACTTACTTTGCTTTTGTTGTATGGTATATAGTGGTGACCATTCTTTCTGATACACTAGGGTCACTCTGAATCTGAAGAACCTGTTTCTAGCAAGGAATGTCTATTATAAAATACCTCACTATATAGAAGTTGTTAATAAGACTAACAGATTGTGTCTCAGAACAACATAAATTAAAAACAACCATATTTGGCAATGTCAGTTAATTTCTTAATTGTTAAACCCAGCCCAAAACAATATTTCCTGTTTCAAGAGGGTTCTTCCCCCTTTCCCTTCCTCCCTTTTATCTCACTCCTTTTCAAAAGTATCCCTAGCAACTAAAATTTGAATCCTCAACTTTATGCTTTTATTTCTGCTTTCTATTTTGTTTATTCTATTTGAACTATACATGGCTTTTAGACAGCAAACTCCTATGCGAGGTTCTGATCGTCTGTGAGTTCTTACAACCTGATTTTGAAAAACTAACCCTGTAACTATCTAAATTTTGCAAGCACACAATGAACTTCCTCCTCAAGTTCTCACTGTTTAGGTACAGCATATTTGTATTACTGATTGCCCTTTAAATATAAATAGTATTTAGAGACTGACAAACATAATCTCAATTTGATTCTAGGCTATTAACCAATTCTACAAAATCTAATTCTAATAAATAACATTAAGAACAAAAATAACATTGAGTCAGTCCTGAATGATACAAAACTGGGCTGTGACCAAAATCCTCTACTTATAGCTGAACTAGACATTTAGATCATTTCCATGGGTGAATTTCAGTGGCAGAGGGAATTTAGCAAAGATTATCCACCTATTGATCAATCTATCCATTTATCCATCTATCTATCCATCTCCTTTATGCTGATACTTTTTTTCATTTTATTTATTTTTTTTTCAACATAACAGGGAGTAGAAACAACAAAAAGGAAAATTGGCTAGTGTTCAAAACAACTTCACAATACATACATACATATATATTTTGTAGTACACCTCAAACTTATACAATGTTATATGTCAATTTATCTCAATGAAACTGGGAAAAATGTTAAAAAAAAAAAGAGGAACTTCTTGAAACTAAAATACAACAACTGTATTAAGAAAATATACTACAATGTTTAACTACGTCATTTTTTAAAATGCCCTAGAATCACTCAAAGTGTACATTTTATTGCTAATCATCCTAGCAGATCTGCAGTGCAACTGAAAGCACACATTCAGAACAAGCCATTCTGAGTTCTTTAGGCAATGTACTGATAAGAACTGTTCTACTAGTTTTTACACTAAATTATCCTTTGTGTTATATGTCTGGATCTCTGAGTCTTCAAATAAATTCTTAGGAAAAAAGAAATTTTTCTCACTTTAAAATTATCAGTCAGGGCCTCCCTGTTGGCATAAGAGGTTAAGCCTCAGCACTATGAAGCTATCCGCAACCACTGCAGCATAATCCCCAGCCCTGAAGCCCTCTCCTGTCTTGCCCTCTGATCCCCTCAGCAGTGTATTTATATAGATCTGCCTGTCCTGCTCCCCACTGTCTCTGGAGAATCCTCTCATCCCCTTGTACCTCTGCCCTACACCACAGCTCTTATATGCATAAATACTTAAAAATAAATAAAATTACCACTCAGTGCTTTATATTGTCAGAAACTTACACTATCAATTTAATCACAAAATAAGAGTTTTAAGGCTGAAAGAAATCTAAATGCAATTTTCAGTCTGCTCTCCTACCCGTATAAGATCAATCTCTGCACTATATAGACAATCATGTAGCATTTGCTGGATTGTTCCAGGTTTAGAAGCTCACTGCTAGTTCTAAAAGCTCAGTTCAAGGAAAAATAATACTTTTATATCTGAAAACTAATGTCACGACTTTTTAGGAAAAGAATTGTTTCCATCTTCACAAATGCTGCCTGCAATTTTTCATGTACTTTTTACGTACATGACACAACAGTGGTCTCTTTAACTGACCATAAAAAGTGTTACAATGAAACAGCAAAGAAAAAATTGAGACTCTTTAGATCTTTAAAAGGAGAATCTCCTTTTGAGTCAATTTTATTGATAGTGTTAAGTCCTTCTACTGGCACCTTTGGCCACATGATAGCTATTATAGTTTAACAATATGCAGAAATTCTGCTCTGGAACATTCTCATCCTCCCCAACCCCACATAACCACTAATCTACATTCTGCCTCTGTAGATTTGCATATTTTAAGCATTTTGTGGAAACAGTATCATACATTATATAGTCTTTTGTGTCTGCCTATTTTCAATTGGTATGTTTTCAAGGTTTATAGATGTTAAAGTACTTCATTCCTTTTTATAGCTGAACAATATGCCATGCATTTATACCACATTGTTTATCCATCAGTTCCTAGAGTCTCGGGTTATATTCTTTTTTTAATGTGGCTTTTATGAGTAATGCCACTATGGACACTGATGTACACTCTTGAAATTTTTGTTATTGAAAGTGCACTTAATTATAACAACGTGTCATGTATACATCATTATAAAGCAACAGCTGTACACTATAAAGCATAGTATGTTTCCCTTAAAAAGTCTAATTACTATCTTTAATTTTTTGAAGAATCTCCATACTATTTTCCACAATGGCTACATAAATTTGCATTTACACCAACAGTGTCCTATACATTTTTTGTTTAAACCTATATTAAGTATGTGCCTAAGGATGAACTGCTAACTCACATAGCAATCTATATTTAACCTCTGAGGAACTGCCAAGCTGTTTCCATTCTCAGAATTAGTGTATGAAGTTTCCAATCCAAAG